CTTCGTTCAGCGACACCCTGTCATTTGCCACCTGAAGGAACTTACCTGGAGCATCTTCTAGAGCATCCGTAAGCGCTGCCTCTAAGGACCCGGCTATTTCTCTAAACCCGAGATAAAAACAGAGCGCTGCTCAGCGTCCATGCACGGAGAGAGGCCTCGTCCTGCCCGTCCCGCCTCGTCAGATTCCAGGGTCTTCCCTAGCGGCCCTCTGGTCAAGCCGGGCTCAGACGCCCGGCCAGCCCGCAATGCCCGCCCTCCTGGCGAGCGCGGGACAGACTTGTCTGGACCGAACTGCTGATGTCAGGTATGTGCTACTTGCAGCTGGTCTGAACTGCAAGGAACCCTGTGTCTTCCACACCCAACGAACTGCCCACTTCGGTCTCCAGCGAGACGCCGTTCCTGGCAAGCCCCACGTGACCACACTTGAGTCGTCACTTTAAGGCCGTTGGGCTGGTTTCCACAATCCATCCACGCCAGCACTGTCGCAGGAAAGGGGGTGGCCCCAGAGCATGACATGGGAAGGACTGCCACTGGGAGTGGCCGCGGAGAGCAGACTGGCTCGTCCTTGGCGCTCCGGTTCCCGCTGGCTCTGCCTCCCCCGCTCCGCCCCGTGCAGCCATGGTCCCGGCCGGGCAGCACCTGCACTGCCGTCCCCAGGTGAGATGCCTGGCAGAGGAGGCGGGGCCGGCGCCTGGCCCTGTTCGTAAGCCGGCCGGGCAGCACCTGCACTGCCGTCCCCAGGTGAGCTGTCTCCTCTGCTGACCGCTGGCCGGCCTGGCGTCTCAGGTCATCTTGTCACGTACTCCTTTCTTAACAACTAAAGCAAGCACGTTTTTATGACTTTGTGACGTGAAACTGTACACACACACAGTTGTGTGCATCACTTAACGACGGGGCAAGCTCTGAGAAATGTGTCCTTATGAGATTGTCATTGTGCGAATGTCACAGGGGCACTTACACACGCCTGGAGGGCACAGCCCGCTGCACACCTGCCCCGTAAAGCACGGCTTGGTTCCCAGGCTACACGCCTATGCAGCGCGTGGCTGGACTGAACGCTGCAGCCAACTGCGACACAGTGGTAAGCGCGTGTCCTTCCAAACGCGTCTGAACGCAGAAAAGGCACAGCGAACGCTGCAAAGCAGCACAGCTGTGAGGGGCTGGGGGCTGCTGGTGGGGGGAGCAGAGACCTAGGGCCTCACTGCACACCTGGACCTTACGAACAGGGCCAGGCGCCCGCCCCGCCTCCTCTGCCAGGGCCAGGGAGGGGACACGGAAGCTGTCAGTGCTTCTCTGGGACCGCCACGTGCGCGCAGATCCTGCTACTCAGAGTGGAAGTTAGTATTCCTCCCTAGAAACACGTCGGAGCGTCCCCACCACTGGTCTCAGGCTGCTCTAAGGCAGGGTCCTCAACTCCTGGGCCGTGGGGCCGGTACTGGTCCGTGGTCTGTTAGGAACCGGGTCACACAGGAGGAGGTGAGCAGCGGGCGAGTGAAGCTTCCTCTGTATCTGCATCCGCTCCCCACGCCGGCATCACCGCCTCAGCTCCGCCTCAGATCACCAGGCATTAGATGCTCATAGGCATTAGATGACCTGTCCCTGGGCCAAAGAGCTTGGGGACCGCTGCTCTAGCTAACGCCACTCTAAGCAGGAACTCACATGACCTCATTCAACGGAACCTGCATGAACGGCTAGCGCCCGGTTTCCGGCGGAGCGTGTTGCTGTGGGTCTGTCATAAGGTTTCTCAATAGTTCACAGAGCCACTTACGACACAGGCGCCCGCATAGCATCTGGAAGTGGCACCGTTTTCCAGAACAGAGAACAAATGTCAAAAGGATTATAAACGAAGCCGAAAGAATAACCAGGCTTCTCACAAACTGGTCGATGGAATCGGCGTAAAGAATACGCAAAGCGAAGCTTCTCCCACCGCCTCGGAGGGGAAAACCCCTCGCAGATGAACAAACACAGCGGGAGCGGGACGGACCCGCCCCTGGAGGCCGGTGATGAGGTGGGGGGAGGCGGGAAGAGCCACCACGGAGCTGCCGCCTGCTGTCTCCGCCCGGAGGAGGCTGCTCCTGGAGGCCAGCTCGCTCCACGTCACGGCCTCCGCTCTCTAACCACCGACGAGTAAATCGTACCCTGTCACGCAATCACGACACTTCTATATTTCCGCTTTAAAGCGTGTTTCCCAGAGAACAGTGTGACGATCGCAGAGACGGGGCCGCTGGGTGGACACGACACCCTCACACGACATCCAAATTCTACCCTGAAAGGCAGAGGTGGGAGGTGAGCGGATCACTGACCTTATCTGAAAATAAACGGGCAGGTTCCACTTGCTGTGGAAGCCGAGGTAGGCGGGATGTGCTCTCAGCCTCTTTACGCTGGCCTGGGACCCACACTGCCGTTCGAACGCTCTCACGAAGTCCATGCTTACGGTGTATTTCTAAGACAAGGACAAACGTGGCATTTTCTCCGTAAACAAACTGACCGGGATGGGGAGCGCACCCTGAAAGCTGCAATCAAGGCCAGGAAGGTCAGCACAGGATCGGTCCCCAGAGCTGACGGGGGCCCTATGGGGGCTTCCTTTCGCGGTCCCTGCCCACAGACCAGGCGACACCCAGCGGCTCCGACACGCTCGAGTCTCACGTGTGGACACCCAGGTTTTCTAAACTCAGTGCTCTGAGAAACTGCTCTCCTGTTCTGCGCGCCCCTCGCCCAGCCCCTGGAACCGGACGAGACGGGAGAACACGTGGTATTATTCTCATTGCCTCTCCAGAAGAAGTAGGAAGTTTTTAAAAGGGACAGAAAGAATCAAACCACGTGAGCAAAACCAACTGCATCATTTCTACAGACGAGACGGCGCAAAACCTGTCGGGGATGTGATGCTTCACGTTCATGCACCTGTGCCTAAAACCGGACCGCTGCCTCTGACCCACGCCCGCCCTGCAGGTAGGCAGCCGCCATCGCCCCCGTTTCACAGATGACGCTTCCTCTTCCGTGTGGGCTCACAGAGGATTTCCCCGAAGATAAGGCCAGGAGACAGAGCGCGCAGACCCGTGGCTGCTGGCGCGGCCGCTCTAGTCCCAGGCCCCGGGCTCCAGGGCGAAGCCCGCTGGGCCTCCCAGCAGTCCCAATGACGACGGGCCCAGCGGCCACCAAGCCACTCCCCAAGCCACGCTGCAGCCTGCGCTGTGACGGGTCTCAGTGCAGTAAACACCACAGCGTAAACTCCGTCACCGCTCTGAGCGACACGCACGGAATTCCGAGTGTGGTCAGGTGTGTGGGGTCGAGACAAACAAAGGTGTTCCCGGGGCGCGGGAAGGGGGCACCTCGTGGAAGGCGTCGGGGCTCCCGGGGCGCGGGGGTGGGGAGTGGGGGTACCTCGTGGAAGGCGTCGGGGTTCCCGGGGTTGAAAAGCGAGGGCAAGTGTTCTTCCAATGCTCGGACTATCTCTGGCCAGACAGAATTCACCAAAAAATCGTATCCGGGGACCGTGTTGCCTTTTTCACTGTGAGGCAAGGGCATAATCATAGTCAGAGACGCCGTCGCACCCCCCTTCCCCGCCGGCAAAGACCCCGCAGCCCCCCACAGATGAAGAGCACACCGCCGCTGCCGTGCTGCGACCGAAAGTTCCTCTGCCTGGACTTATTTCAGCTTTTTTTGTTTTTAAACTGTATTTGTTAAGCAGTTTGTTTCTAGCTCCAAAGTTCTATTTGACTCCTTGATCTGTCTCACCTTGAACCCGACACACCCTCTGCATCCTGACTCCTACACATCCATCACTCAGCAGAGCAAGCTGGTGTTGAGGACGAGGCAAAACTACCCGACGAACTGCCTGGGCACCATTTTCTCCCCTAAAATAGGTGCCACGTTCCACTCTGTCTTAGAAAAGCCGCAGGCTGACACCACCAGGCGGGCGACCTCGATACTCTTCACACCACTGAGCCCTGAATCAGCACTGATATCACGCTGCCTCGCCCCGGCCCACAGCCTTATCCCTGAGCCTGCCTGCAGCTCATGGGAAATCCTGATCACAGATCTCGATTCAAAACCCGGTAACACTGCTGTCCTCTGGGTTCACAGGCTTTGTTTTGTGTCTTTCAGCAAAGGGGCTGACGACGGATTTCTAACTCACGACTTCGCAGGAGAGGCAGCGCGGAGTCAAAGCACGCACTCGGGAACCTGGGTTCAAATCTTGGGTCATTTAATTTCTATTTGGGTTTCTTCGTGTTTAAAATGGGGGTGATGGTAACATCTACCTCATAGCATCGTTACAGGCATCAATATTTGCAAAGCATTTAGGACGCTGCCCAGCACGTAGTAAGTGTTATGTTAGCACCGGCTAAATATCTAAGTAAGTAAACAAATAAATAAAGCGGATTCCTTAGATTTCTCTTGAACTTAAAGACCCGTAAATTGTCATCTAGGTGAACGCCATCTCACACGGCCACCCACTTCGATTCTTGTGTATTGAGTAATACGCTCTATTTTAAGATAATTTTCTTAAAAATGGTCAACAATTCAATACAGGGTCTAATTTTACTAAAACTGGGAGTTTTGCAGGTAAATTGCCGAACTATCGATGTTGATTGGGACTTAACATTCTGGTAAGTACTAAAAACAAACAGAAAAAAATTTACGTCATTTTCCTCCTTAGTAAAAATTATCAAGAAAGACAGGTTATCAAGGAAGCTAAGCCTCACTGTCTAGAAAGAGCTATCAAATAACCTCATTACCGTTAGGTACTGGTAAGAAATTACTGTGCGGTTGGAGGAGGGTGAGCAGATGCTTCTCCACATGTCAGACCCTATGACAGACCTTTAGCCATGTAAGAACCAGCTCTACTCTCTGGAGAAGAACGAAATTGAGAATTTTAAAACTATACGCAGACACGATACAAGCAATACTCAATGACCGATCTATCCGCCCCAAAGTAAATATCTAATTAAAGCCCCAAAGAGAAAATTTAAATCTGCAAGAACAATGGAGACGGCTCATTAGCAAAGCTAAGCCATGCTCTTTGGAACATGGGCCTGAGGTCGCTGGCAGGGATGGGAGGGGGGAGCAGGGACGGGGACAGGGAGGGGGAGAAACGGGGGACAGGGAGAGAGGCGTGGGATGGGGAGGAGGAGGCTCCGAAGCTGGTTAGCCCCTTTTGACCTGGGTGTGTACTTAACTCAGGTGGCTGTTCTCAAACACCAGGCAGCTCCCCACTGACCAGGCTACGGGGTCGAGTGGGCGGGACTCGTGTGCTGCGGGACCAGAACCTCCTATGCCTGCGATGGCCCCTTACTGCGGCTTGGGGCTGAGCCGAGTGACTCGAGGTGTGCGTGTCCCCTGTGCCCGGCGGACACCACGGGCCCCAGGTGCAACCCCGAGGCCCAGGTGCGCCCTGAGCACAGCCGGGCCCTGTACCTTGAGATGGCCCCGCCCGTGACCTCTCGAAGCAGGCGGCAGTGGTGGGGGACAAACTCCAGGAGTTTGCCGTACATGAGCTGTAGGCCGTCGGGGCGAGACTCAACAACCTGCTCCACGATCACCTGTGACAAGGAATTTCGTTTTTACAAAAAGCACCTGAAAGTAGAAACGACACACTGCAGAGAACGGAGTAGAGACACGCTCTGCAGGCCGCCTGTGCGGGTCCTGCATCTCTGAACACCCCTCCCTGTGCCTGGCAGGCCTGGCCGACCCCTGTCCCCTCCGAGAGACTCGGCCCAGTGAAGACTGCCGCCCCGGGGCTTCCCACACGCGGCTGCGGTGCTGTCGTCTGCGGACGGTCCCTTTCCACCCACCAGACCTGGAAGCGTTTTGACTCGTACCTTCTTCCCTGGTGAGGCCCCCAGCCCACCAACTGCCAGCGGGTACCGGCGGGCAAGCCTCTGCCACCCCCGGCACGGTCCCTCCCTGGGAAGCCCCCCCCCCCGACCCACGCCCCGCGGGGCGCACGCACCTGGTCCAGGTACGGCTTCACCAGCACCTGCCCGACCAGCGCCTCGGCGTCGCGTGTCTTGTCGATGGTGGCGTAGGTGCGCAGGCAGTGCCGGACGACGTCCACGTCCGAGGCGCGGAGACCCTCGAGCAGGAGGCCCTCCAGCGAGCGCTGCAGCATGGCCGTGATGCCAGCCACGCGCTGCGAGAGCGAGAACAGACCGTGGGCGAGGCTCCCGCTCGGCCCGGCCGCGGCTTCACACACGTCCCCGCCACCCGCTCACGCGGACGAGGGCGACGCGCGAAGTTAACACGTCGACGCGCCCTGCAGAGAACCGCGAACCCCGCAGTCTCCTGACAGGCGAACCTCGGCCTCGGAAAGGGGAGTTTGGGCAGAAATACCGAATGCGGGGAAGAGTCAGTTTCCTCTCATGCTCCAGGATTAACCTGACGAACAGGAACTTAAAGCCCAGCCAAGGGCTGCGGAGAAAGCACGTCTGATGACACCACGTAACGGGTCAAGTTGCATGAAATGCAGAGTTAGCTTCACCTCGTATTCAGAGACGAGGACAGCGTCTTTACAGACATCGACATGTGACACTGAGGCAGCAGGGGCCCCAGACAAAAATTCGGACCTAGCCTGAAAACCCCGCAGGTCAGCCCCGCCAGGCCATCGCCAGGGGGACCGGAACGACCCGCAGACGCGTGGACAGCAGCGTGGCCGCCCGGCGCCGCACTCACCGGCCGCACTCTGTCCAGGAGGGGCAGGCCCTTGCTCTGCACGGCGTGGAACTGCAGCTGGTTGAACTCGGCCGCGACCCGCTCCAGCACTTGTCCGGTCGCCAGTGCGCTGGCAGAGACAAGGATGGGCGCTTCACTCCTCGAGTCGAACTTCCGAGGACACGGCGCAGGACCAGCAGCGGTGCGGCTCTGGCGCCCACTGAGCTGGCCTCCCCCACGCCGCCCTGTTCCACGGCGGAAGCCAGAGCGTCCCCGAGTTGTCCCTTCTCCCAACGAGCCACATGCACAGCACGTCCGGCCGCCGGAAGCTCCACAGCCCTGGCTGCCGCCCAGCCCTGGGCCACGGGGCCCAGACAGCAGGCAGGGGCTGGACCAGGCCGGTGTGGGTGCGGCCACCGCCTTCGCCAGGCTCTCCCGCTCACGGCCATCTTTGCCTTTGACCTCCCTTCCCTCTGCTGCCCTGTCCCGTCAGTCACGCCTCCCCTAAAACACCTGCGACACCTCAAACCCCACACGCTGCTGTCTCCTCAGTAAAGTAAAACGGGCTCTGGAGCAGCAGGGCACGAAGCATCTCAGAGTGGCCGTCTTTACACTCGGTGACCCGGACCGCTGCCACCCCCACTGCCACCCCCACTGCCGTCACTACGAGTCACTCATCCTCCTGGCCGATTTAGAATTCGGGCTAGAGAGGGGATAAAAAGTCACAGAATGACTAAGGAAATGGTCGTCTTTTTCTTATTTTACAAGCTGCTTCTGTCCCGTTGATAAATTTCAACCAAATGTGTCCTAAACTACTTTCTCCAGGTGCAGAGCCCGTGCGAGCACATGGCCGGCGACACGCGGGGCGCGTCCAAAAAACCCAGGGAAGGCGAGCGCTCGCCCCAGCGTGAAGGCCGCCGAGGACCCGCCGCCCCGGGCACCGCAGGAAGAGGAGCAGCACTGCCTCTGGCCCCCAGGAGGCGACGTGCTGACAGCGGGGCCACGGCCACAGGCTGGTGACGACGGCACGTTACCGACCGCACCGCGTCCCGGGCTCCACTCTTCCTGAGCTCCATTCAAAACCACGAAGCCACGGACGTGGACTTTCTTTCTCAGAAATGAGTTCTAACTGAAAAAAATTATTTAGCCTAGGTGTGGAGTATTAATTTATGTGCTATTTAGTAAAAAAATACTTACCTGTGTACTTCTAGTGCAGATGTTTCTTTAGAACTTTGAGAATTTAAGATCTTCTCAATCTTCTCAACTGATCGAATAACTTGTATAAGCCTCAACACACACATCTATAAAAATTACAAGCAAAAAAAATAATCGTGGTTTTTAATCTGAATTATTCTACTTCTCCATGCTAAATGCAGGAAAACACAGAGCCAAAGTCGGCTCAGAATGTCCGGAGCGTCCCACATTTTGAATGTCAACATAACACCGAATCCCCGAAACACGGATCTTAATTTTGGCTTTCTAGAACAAGCATGTTCCAATGTCTAGTGCAAGTTTATAGTTCAAAAAGGAACTGAGTTTTGCTTTCTCATATCCCGTGCTCTTATCCCTTCTTCCTGTTCCCATCTTCCATCTATTCACTCAACTGTTTCTCACGTCTTAATGTGTCCACTCATTAAAGACATTATTACTCTACACATAGCATCAAAGAGGTTGAGGGACGTTATAAAAACACTCGTCTGTAAAAGAACGAAAAGAGACAAGGTCATTCGCAAAACAGTTACTGAGTACCCACTGCGAGCGGGCCGTTCTGCCAGACAGTGGGACCCGAGCGAATGAAACCACCAACATTCCCTGCTCCATGAAGCTCACGGTCCTTTCCAGAGATGCACTCCATTCTCGAAATCTTTAGACAAAAGCTGAGAAGCTCCAAAGAATTAAACAGAAGGTCTCTAAAACAGGCATCTCTCTCCTGACATTTTAAAAAACACGCTAATAAATACATTGGGAAAACACTGGATAGAGCACCAGGCAGAGTCCGAAGTGCTGAATCCTAACTCCAGCTCTGCCATCACGTCCTGACGATTAGACACGGAATCGGAAATGAAATGGAAACACAGGACCACGGAGAGTGAAGGCGGCGCATGAAGGGTGGACACGCCGCTCCTCTAAAGCGGCAAGGCCGCAGGACGCTGCGCGGAGCTCGCGAAAGCCACCTGCTCGCCGCTCTCTCAAACAGGGACAGCCGCTTTACGGGGCTGATGAACCCGTCCACGCCTATTAAACCGCAAAGTGCTTCCCAGGGTCAGTTATTACTATTTCTTATTCCGGAAAAAAAGGAGGGAGTTTAATTTTCTGTCCACTAGGGTATCTCTAAAATTACGCCTGACTTCGAATAGATAACATGGCATCATAATGCATAAATACACATGCAGATGAGCTTTTGGGAAAAACAGTTTCGCGGTCCTGGAAAGCATGAGCAGACACGGGGAGAGAGGGCTTTCAGCTGACCTTCGGCGTGAGAAATCCACGGTTTCCTTTAAAAACAGTGCTACCGTGAAAAAATTGAAGCACAAGGATGGTATACGATTTCCTTTGTCTTTTTAAAAAATTACTCTGCCCCGCCCCTCTGATCAACAACTCGGATCCGACCGGGAGTGAGGAGACGCGGGCCGGCGCTGGCCCAGCCCTCCCCCGCCCCGCTCGGCTGCCGGTCCCCAGCGGTGACCCCGCGTCCCCCCCCGCAGAGGGGCCAGGAGTACCCAGACCACGCGCACGGACGTCCCTAACCCCCGGGGCTGGCACGGGCCACGTTTACCTTCTTTTCTCTGATGTCCTCCTGTTTAGATATCCGCTCATCTACTGCCCGGATCCCCTCACTGACGGACGCCCTGAGACTCTGGGAAGGAATGAAGAAAACGTGTTATAGAAACAGCACTGTGACATTTACACATTTAACTCGATTCCGTGGAACGGAATTAAATTTGCGTATTTAACTCAATTCCAGTGTCTACAGGCCAGTACTATGCAGATACTGACAAAAACACGAAGTATCAGACACGATTCTGTTGATTTCAGGCAAAATGACAGAGAAAGCCAAGGTCAATGGGATTAGCGGCCAGAAGAATCCTACTACATACACAGCGAATGTCAGAGGGCCCAGGGCAGAGACAGGGCGTCTGGGTCACAGGGCAGAGGGGTGGGCAGAGGGCAGGGGGCTTGAGTTCAACTCCCACACTTGCGTCGGCTGTCGAGGGAGGAGGGGAATCATGGGAAGACAAAGGCAGGACGACAGGACTGAGTGGGCAGAGCGAGGCGGGGAGGTGCGCCCCCAGGGACAGCGGGCTTCAGGAATAAAAAGGGGGGCCGATTACGAGGGCCGCGCTCAGATCGGCCTTGGGCCCGTTTCTGTGCATTCTGCAGAACTAGGAACTTTAAGTGCTGACATGTCATGACGGAACGTTGTCTGGGGAACATCAGGACTCAGGAAGTGAGGGACAAAATGGCAGGGAGGGAGGGGCCGCGGGTGCAGAAACCTGTCCAGTGTCACCAGGAATTAGGGCCAAACTGAAGGCGAGGGAAACAACTAGAACAAACCGGACAAATCGGAGAAGTTCTGCAGAGGCGAGGCCACGCCTTCGACAGACCCCGAACTGCCTACTGACCACCAGCCACGCGGATGGTGAACAAGAGACGCACCCGTGTCCCTCCGCAATCGCGGGGTCTCGCAGCGGCTTCACGAGTCAAGCTCACACACAGGGAAGGGCCGGGGCCAGCAAGGGAGGGCTGGCCACAAACACGGCTGCGGCCGAAGGGAGCGGGCACGGCCCTGCGGTGGCAAGGCGGACCAGGGCCTGGCTGCAAGGGCCGTGGCCAGGGTCCGGACAGAGTCAGCAGAGTAGGTAGGTCTACGCCACGCAGGGAGGTGGCTCAGAGACTGGAAGGCCAACAACGGCCGAGGCTCAGGAAACGCACGGCTGGGAGCATGTGGGGCCGGTGCGGGGCCGGAGTGCGGGGCCATGAAGAACCTTTCTCGTCCACCCCAAGCAAACATGCTTGTCGTTGAAGCTTTTCCGAAAGCCGCACAAGACAGAAACATTCAAACGTGTTTGCCAGTTCCAGGCAGAGCTCCAGACTCAGCCTTTTACGACTGCTGTCCTGCCCGGCCCCCAGGGCATTGCCAGCTCCGTCCGCCACTCTGTCTCCAGTCGTGCAGCGAGAGCCACCCACGTGCAGGTACCGTCGTGGGGGCTCGGGGCACAGGGCCACTCACGTGGTCTGGAGGTGACACCCAGGGAATGACAGTGTCAGCACCAGGGTCAGAGCCTAGGGTGCCTGGAAGTCGGGGCGCCTGACACAGACTGGGGTCGGGGGGCGGGGAGCAGTTTTCTGCTGGAAGTGACGCCAAACCCCCCCTCCCTGTTCATCCAAAGGCTTCGAGGTCGGGGTCCTGTCCCACCTCTAAGACTTTCTCAGAGGAATGTCAAAATGTAGTGCTCCTTGGGTACCCTGACATTACATCATCCTTTACTATCTTATTTAAACCCCGGGGACCAGACTGGATGTCTGACCACCTGTCAACACTGTCGGAGAAATACCTGTAAAATGGCAATCGATTTCAAAAAACGTGAGCCAGTTGTAAGCTGGAGACCGCGGGGGAGGTGGCATTAACGAGTTAAATTTTAAAACAGCTCCTTCCCCTCCCTTGACGTTTTAAAGTGGTCTATTCAGAGGATCTGTCTTCAAACTGAACACATTCATGGCCGGTGACAGGGATCCCCGGGGAGGCGGCCAAGCACCACGAGCTTCAGGGTGGCCTGTGCGACACACGGAGGGACTTACCAGGACCTCTTCCCGCAGCTGTCCCAAAGGCACGGAGAGCTGGCTGAGGGCTTTGTCCACACCGACCTAAAGGCAAAAGCATGTGGGCACAGACACGTGACAACCAGGACCGATGGTGAGGACAGCAGAGGCTGACGCGGGACTGGACGCCAATCACTCACCCGCACAACCACACGCTCACTGCCCAGCAACTAACTGTCACAGAAATGCTGTTTTGCCATAAATATTACTCATGACAAAATCTGCTGATATCCATGAGACAATAAACATAGGGGAAGTCGTAATGAATGCGAGCTTCCTCACGCACGTTTGCCTTAGGATGAAATTTTAAGTGAATTGGAAAAATTCACTGGGAGGCGAACGCCAGCCGACTGAGAGTTGGATGGACGGGCCCCACCCTTCCTGGACGTTATTTCAACTCGAGAAAAATCCAAATTCAACAGAATGTAAATAAAATTGGGGGGTTTCTAATCCTACTGAAAGATCTCAGTGGCCTCGCCCCCAAAAGCAAAATCAGCTCATTAACCTTAATGCTCCCCGAAATTCCCGTGGGGATGAGGGCTCCGTGTGCTTTGGATGAACGGATTTAAAACTGGACACGAACAAGACTTGTTCGCCAGCATGAAAACAAGCACTTCTAGGTGGCTGTCACCAACCACCGGAGGCTTGTTACAAACCTTTCTCACGGTTCCATAAAACCCAGCCTTGCACAGAGCAGGACGGGCCCGGACATCAGCCCGGACACTGGCTCGGACACCGGCCTGGACGCCCCCGGAGCTTGTCCTCATAATGGCTGGATTGGCGAGAGGTCACAGAGCCCACCTAGCGACTGCCAGAAGCCACCACCCTGACTTACGACCCTGTGCTGTGCACTGTTTCTTAGTGAGTGATTCAAAAGCAATCGAGCTGGAACAGTCCTGAACGAGCGAACACGTGTGCCAAGGACGCCTGCTGCTTCCAGCGGGGAGCAAGGCGGGCAATCCCTTCGAGTCTCCCAACCGCCTGACACGCGGGGAAGCGACTTGGGGGCGCGGCGCGGGTTACCAGGTTGGTGGAGAGGTTGACGAAGTCCGCGTAGTCCTGGTTGATGAGCTCCACCATGGCCGTTTTGAGGAGCCGGTAGTAGAGCTCCAGGTCCTCCCTCAGCTCTTCCAGCTGCACGCGCTTCCTGCAGTCGGACACGAAGCGGTCGACGTCGAAGTCGTCCTGGGAATCAAGGAAAAGCAGAAGCTGTCGCAGTGACGCCACGCGGTACACACAAAAGTAACACGGAGAAGGCAAATGGGAGAAACGCCGCTCCGAGCCTCGCAGGCCCGGCGGCTGGGGGCAAAGCGCCTGTCGCCACGCCTGTCACCACGCCTACGCGGCACCCGCAGCCTAAACCCGCACGCGGTCCATGCTTTCGGCTGCACGTGTTAAACAGGCTCTTCTCAAAACAGAAACAGCTTTTCCCCTTAACTCTGAAAGTAACAAACGTCCAACACAAAACTTCCAACTAACAAAGGAGTAACCGTCCAACGGGGAGTGAAAACTCACCCGCACTCGGACGCTCTGCAGGTGAAGCGCCGTTGACCAGGAAAAGATACAAAATCAATACAGTCCAGCCACTTCCCCAGGCTGCCCGCTCCCTATCTCTAAGTTCTAGTGTAGAACGCATATTCTGAGATTTCCACTTTGTGAATCTGCTTTGACCAAAGGCATTCTGTCAGCTTAGAGTGAGCAAAATGGGGGGCTAGTGAGTCAGAGACGACACTGGTGTTGGGCTTGAAGGAGGCCAGAAGCCAAAAGATGGACAGGTGAAGAGTCTCCTGCAGCCCGAGATCCCTGACGTCAGCAACAGGCTCCGAGCTCTGCGGGCACAGCCTCCTTTCCAAAGCAACATGTCCTCAGTCCCTCCCTACCCTGGCTTCCCGCAGTGGGACAAAATAGGTTTCTGGATGGATAGGTCGGCCCTTCACTCCATCAGAGCCACAGCCCGTATTAGTGGCTCAGCAAGAACATCACCCACATCATTCCCCGGTCTAGACGGCCCCCATCTTAAAAGCTGACGTGGCCACACTGGAGCTGTGATCTGAATGCAGATCTCAAAAACAGATAGGCTAATCGACCCAGAAAGAGGAAAACATCATGTCTTGAAATCATCAAAAAGGGCAGAAGAAGAGATTTAAACTCGCTCAAAATTTTAGGTCTCTACTGAGCCAAAACTTTTAACTTTTTTTGGCTCAGTAGAGACCTAACTTTTTAACACTGAAACCAACTAAATTGTGTCAAAAAGTCCCAATCCTTAGAAATTAAACATATACTTTTTTGATGGTTAAAGCACTGGCCCAGCGGAATACACCAAATCAGAGGCAAAGTTCCTCCCAGCTGTGATTCAAATCTTGGACCTTTCCCAGGCTGTACCTGACAAACCTTTATTATCAGTAAAATGTTTTCGGTTTACACTTCTTTTTATTCTGGAGTTTATGCCCTACAATCATCTGCACGCCAACTTGCAGTTCACCTCAGAAAGTAGGGCAGCTTTAGAAAAGGAGAATGTCCTCGCTGTACCGCAGCTCGATCAGTGGACGTTGGGCCAAAACTCTGGATTAAGTGGCTTTTTCTGACCCGATCCCCGGGCAGGTACGTGGGTCTAGGGATTCGCTCAGAACATCCTTACTGGGCTTTAGGCGCAAGGCACTGGGCGGCAAGCGTCCGTCAGGCAGGGGACTGGCAGGCTGAGCGCACCGCCCGGTGACAGGGCCGGGCAGTCACCGGGGCTTTGACGTTTAGCTCAAAACCACTCGGCCAGAACTTTGGGGCTTCTTGACTCAACGTGCCCGATTCCGGAGCAGCGCTG